GCCACCCGCACAACCCAACCAGGGCCGGGGACAAACTGCAACTGAGGTACATGCCCTTAGCGGGAACCGAACCCGGGTCTCTCTGGACCGCAGGCCAATGCTCTACCCACTAAACCAAACCATCCAGGGCTAGGTGTAGCTTTTGATAGAGATTTTCCCTGCTGCTTCTCCTTCCCATCATTCATCATGTAGCTGCCTGAGGCCAGGGGCAGAGGGATGGTGGAGGGATGGCGGAGGGACTCTGGGCCTGCTGGGGGACTGAGCTCCCAGAGCACACAACCGACGTCTCCAGGCACGAGGTCTTTGCTGGGAGGAGACGGCACTTCTGAGCATATTTTTAATTACATCTGGTCGGTTTCCTAGTTCATGGTTTGAAGAGAATGTTTATATTTGACACTGGGGGAAAGACATTTCCCTGATGTCTTAGTTTGGGAAACTTGTAACAAAACACCATAGATTGGAGAGCTTACACAATGAACACTTATTTCTCTCAGTGCTGGAGGCTGGGAAGTCTGAGATCAGGGTGCCGGCATGGTCAGGTTCTGCAGAGGGCGCTCTTCTAGATCTCCTCACGCCTGAGGAGAGAGCTCTCGTCTCTTGCTCTGCTTGTCAAGGACACAAACCTCGTAATGGCCTCATAACCTCATCTAAACCTAACTAGACCCCAAAGGTCACACCTTCTAATACCATCCTATTGGGGGTTAGGGTTCTGCATGGATTTTGGGAGGACACAAACATGTAGTCCACAACATCTGGGATTTTCTATTTTATATAAACACATCTTTTTTTTTTTTTTTTTTTTAATCCTCACCTGAAGATACGTTTTCCCCATGGAGAGAAATATCGATGTGAGAGAGACTGGTTGACTGGTTGCCTCCCACATGACTCTGACCAGGGCCGGGGACCGAACTGCAACCGAGGTATGTGCTCTTGACCAGAATCGAACCCACAACTCTTTGGTCTGCAGGCCGACACTCTATCACTGAGCCAAACCGGCCAGGGCTAAACACATCCTTTTAAAGCAAAGAGCACTGTCCTGGCCGGTTTGGCTCAGGGGTTAGAGCGTCGGCCTGCGGTCCGGAGAGACCCGGGTTCGGTTCCCGCTAAGGGCACGTACTTCGGTTGCAGTTTGTCCCCGGCCCTGGTTGGTCGTGCGGGTGGCAGCCACTCAATGTGTCCCTTCTCGTAGATGTTTCTCTCTCTCTCCCTCCCACTCTATCTGTACAAAAAATGGAAAAATATCCTCGGGTGAGGATAAAAAAAAATAAAAAAATAAAGCAAAGAGCACTGCTTGTAGTACAAAATCTCAAGCTCTTTGGGTCTTGTGTTTCCTCCTAATCCGAGCCCCACGTATGCAACGCACCTTTCCGCTGCTTTCAACCAACGGGTATTTGAAAAAACCTTGAGACAAATGAAAACACAGTAAAACATACGGGGTACAGCGAAGCAGTGCTAAGAGGGGAATTTATAACTCTAAATGCATACATTAAGAACGATCTCAAATCAATAACCTAACTAGCTCTTAAGGAACTTGAAAAACTAAAAGCTAGCAGATGGAAGGAAATAAAGGTTAGAGTGGAGAAAAATGAATAGAAAAACAAAAGAAATCAATGACACAAAGTTACTTCTTTGCAAAGCAAGAGAATTGACAAAGCTTTGCGAGACTGACTGAAAAAGAAAAAGGTGCAAATTGCAAAAAGCAGCTAGGACAACAAAAAGGGGGAATGTCTAAGCACACGAGAGGTTCTGGAAGAAGGCTGAGCAAACTCAGTGGCTGTTAACTTGGGGGAGGGAGAGATGAGGTCAACTCACCCTTGTGCTTTTTGCCTCTCTATGCTTTTTTTGTGTCATTTGACTCTTTTAAAAACTAAACTACAAGTCAGTTTGAAAAACGTTTTTTAAAAAATTCTCAAATGGTTCTCATGTATATGTAAGCTTGGGAACCTCTGCAAACCCGCCCTACCCTGCGGGTTACTTACTTGCTCCCTTGAGATGCTTGTAATGTCCTCAGTGGCAAGTCCTGGGTACCAAGTCCTACCTGCAGGAGGAGCTTCTCTGGACTACAGGATAAAGATGGAAAAGCATGGAGTTGGATAGTTAAAGACATTTTTCTAAAGCCCACACGGTTGTGTACAATTGGTTTTCTATGTCCAGTAGTATCTATAGATGTAGAAATATATGCATGCATGCATGCACCTGTGTGTGTTCAGATGATATTTACAGAAATATTTAGCAGTGGACAACCAAACCCACAATTCTTTCTGCCTCCCACACATTAAATAAGGTAAATGAGATGTTAAGACTGGGCCCCAGTTATACAGAAGGGTGACAATGCACGTATGCAGGCAGGCATACAATCTCTTACATCTCAAATGACCTCCATCTGTTTAGGAAGTACTTCAAGGCCTGCCCTCCAGCCTATTCGAAGGGCACAGGTCATTATTATCAGAGCCGTGGTGTCACACTACAGCCTTGCTTTCAACCAAATTTAAACAGGGAAACCACAAACACTGAACTAGACCTGTCTGAAGACAACAGACTAGATAGGTTCAGTTATCTTACTACAGTCGAAGTAACAGCAGCCAAACTGTTAAGACCCTTTGGGCTTCAAAGTTGTTTGGACTGGACTGGAGGGTTCTAAACGCCACCTAGATGTCCTGGTTAAAGTAACCTGGATTGTGACAACCTATGTTCCCAGTGACCCTGGCAAATAGTGAACAACTATCTATTTAAATAATTCAGGCTCCAAAAGTGCCTAAATACTTGCTTCTAACAAGCCCGAGAAGGACACAAAGGGAAATCACGCCTCACCGCCAAGTTGCTGCTGTTACTCGGTGGGAGAAACCTGACTCAGTGTCTGGGACACAGTCCTAACCTGCAGGAGACACCAGAAGCAGACTGTGAAGACATTGGTAGAAGTTGGCCTACTTAAAAAACTGCCTAAAAATGCCATAATGAAAAACAAAAGATAATTTGGAAATATTTAACATATAGTTAATATCCTAAATATATAAAATCAAAAGGAAAAAAAATGACTAGCCTGGAAGGATCCTCTACTCGTTACTGCTCAGCATCCCTTTTCCTCATTAACAGAACCTTCCTAGTGAACTCATGGTTGAAGAGAAAACCTTCCCCACAAATACCAGGGTAGGCACGGGAAGCGGGTCACTGTGTTGGCCACATAGCCCACGCACTGCAAACGGCAACCTGATACCTGACCAAAAAATATACTGTGTCATAGAAATAAAAATGTAAATGAAAACATCAGAAGACACCATTTCCCACCCATCAGACTGAGGGTACTTCCCCTTCGCATTTTCTAAACTATGCCGAGGACTGCCAAAGGAACGGGTTTTCAGTGCATGCTAAAATCACTCAGTGAGAGGCTCTTGGAACAGGGAAATGCCTCGTTTACAACAGTTCTGGTGATCATGTCTCAGTCAGAGTCAGCACCATTAACAATGATTTAGGTGGCTCTGGCCGGTTTGGCTCAGCGGTTAGAGCATCGGCCTTCGGTCCAGAGAGACCCGGGTTCGGTTCCCGCTGAGGGCACGTACCTCGGTTGCAGTTTGTCCCCGGCCCTGGTTAGTCGTGTGGGTGGCAGCCACTTGATGTGTTCCTTTCACGTCGATGTTTCTCTCTCTCCCTCCCACTCTATCTGAACAAAAATTGGAAAAAAAAGTCCTTGGGTGAGGAAAAAACAAACAAAAACAATGATTTAGGTGCCCCCTTTAGGATACAACATGAAGTACACAGCATCCCCTATGAAGGATTCTTGCCAAATACAATCAAGCCTCTAGACCTAACCGTTTGCAGGAAATAGAATGAATTACAGGACACTTCAGGGAAACAGAAATCTAAGATGTAGAACATTAAAGTAAAAGAAGGTTTGGTTTTTGTTTTTGTTCTGGATTAAGATTAAAGAGACAACAGATAAATGTACTGCATGAAATGACTGTACTCTGGTTAAAAATAAGCTGTAAGACCTTTGGGGGGACAATTGCAGAAATTTGAATATGGACTAAATATTAGGGGGTTGGTCAAAACTGGTACAACCATACCAAATTTTCAACGACTACTGAAAATTTGCAATAAACGAGAAAGTTTTATGTGAAAAAGATGAAAGCCCAGAGATAACGTATAACCCATCTTTCAAATGAAATTTCTCTCCTGTCGCTTCGTCAGGACTAAAAATCCTACCACCGCATGCCTACCAGTCACTGTCCATGCTGCAGGCCTGCCAAGCCTGGGTCCCATTCGTCCATCAGGACCGACGCCAGTAGAAGTCACCCTAATGCAAGGAAGAGCACATTAAAGAGGAAGAGGTGGAGAGGTGGGCAGTAAGGCCTTGTTGGGTTTCAGTCCGAGGCCAGAGGGTCAGGTATGGGGTGCGGGGTGCAGCGAGGGCAGGGAGTAAGTTCCCAGCCAGCGTTTCCGCGGGTCCGGGCCAGGCATCGTGCTAGGCACTCCTCACACGTCACCTGATGTGATCCTTGCTTTTACTAGGCAGATGTCGAATGAACAAAGTTCGTAAATGAGAAAAGAAACCCAGGCAGGTCACATGGCAAAGTGGAGAGCCAGGCTTCAAATGCAGGAAGTTAGAGCCTTTCTGGTTTCACAGAACCATTGAGGCGGAGCACAGGAAGGAGACTGGATGGCCTTGAAATTCTTTCAGTACCAACTGCTACAGATCTGCCTGTTACTCTGGGTGTGTGCATGCGTGTACACACACACCTTTCAGCAAGCGTGGAAAACAGGCAAACGTGGTCACTGGTGCACCTGGAAGTAGATGTTAGAAGGATAAAAAGCCACACTGTGATATCGGGCTAATTTATGTGTGATTGAGATCTTGAAAATAAGTGAGCTGCCCTCTCTGCCCACACTTTTCCCATTTTAACAATAAATATTATGAATAGGGATACACTACTGTCCTTGGTAATTAAATATAACAATTTTAGAAATTTTTTATTCAGGCAAAATGGAAACATAATTCAATCCCAATGAGTTCACTAAATTTTTATTAATTTTTTTACAGCTCGATCCTCTTGTGAAAAGGAAGGTGAACAAATCAATTACATTTTTTTTTTAACAGCAATTACTCCTCATTACAGAGAACAACAAACAAAAGATCTGTGGCACATTCTCTTTGGAAAGATCTTTTGCAAATTTTTCTTCTAAAAAAAGAAAACAAACTATAATTCTCACAGATCACATGTCTCTTTCAAAGGACTATACAAGGCAGCTAAATTTTATTCACAAAAGCCCCGGGTTGCAGTTCCATTGCTGAAGTAGATAAAGTACACGAGTCCCCTGTTGCACATCTTCCCGTGGAGAGCATCTCTGCCTCTATCCTACGTACAGAATCACTGTGTGGACTACATAGCTGGCACGTTATTCCACAATAATTAAAGAAAAATTCATATTATTTTAGAGATAGACCAGTGATCTTCATTTATCAACTGGACAATTTATTTATTTTTAAAACAATTTTAATAATACCAAGATTTGACTTTACTCTAAAGTTGTAAGAAAGCAAAAAATATAATATAATATAATATATAATGGTAATAAATAAAAAAAAGAAAAAAAAAAAGGGCAACCCTGCTCAGGTATCATCCAAAACGTAATCACATTCAGAGAAAACAAAAATAACAACAAGATTTAGGACACAAGCATATACACACACACACACACCAACATGAACAGTGTATACTTGCTGTCTGAGGGGGATGTGCAGTAATTTTAACAATACATGTTGATGGCCTGAACAGAAGGCGAAGTTAATACTGCCTGTGTTAAGCGTCACTTAAACATCTACTTTTAAGCAAAGCAAGTTGTCTTCTAGGTCAGCACTGCCTGGTCTGACCAGCGCAGCGCGGCCGGCCTCGCTGTCAGTGGTCTCGCGCCCTTGTCCTTCCAGGCCGATCTGTCCTCTTCTCGGCCCAGAGAGCTGTATGTCTCCTTCCTGCCCCCTCGGGTACAGAAGTGCAGGCGCTTCTCTACCCATCGCAGTACCTGCTGACACCTGGTGCACAGTGGAACAGAATATAGTGTGATTTTTCTCCAGGACGACAGGAAATTTACAGCCACCTTAAGAAGGGTGGGAGATGGTGCTTGTCAACTCATTGTGAATAAAAACTAAAGAACATGGCCAGTGGTCACAATTCATTCTCAGTCGCTGAGAAACCAGCACAGCTGGATTGCATATTTGAGATTTTAGGGTAGAAACAGCACTCCCAATGTTTGGAGAAAAACCCCCAACATCGTGCTATCCTGCCACGCCATCTCTGCAAACAAAATGACAAAAGATAGAAGATAAAATAAAGAAAAAGGCATCGGAAAAACCTTACATCCATAAATTCTAAATAGGACCAAAAACACAAGAGACGACCCGCTAGAGAAAAGGGGAAAGAAGCAAGTACCGCCACAGCCCTGACAGCCCTCCAAGCCACCGCGTGGCTCCCTTCCCAGTGGGCGAGTCTGGGTGTCTGTCTCCAGAAGCAGCCCGGAGACTCTTCCAAGACTTAAATACTGCTAATAGTGGTAAAGAGCGTAACAGATGAAGTGGCAAAGTTCTTTGAAGATTTCGTGTAGTGTCTGAGAAGATAAATCCTTAAGAAAAAAGTAGACTCTGGCGGGAGGCAGGGAATCAAGCCTTATTAGATTCATTTACCTTAAGATGCAAAAGTACACCTCAAACTTCATGAAGCAGAAGAGCAAACGGTGCCAGGACCCACGCAGACGTGGCAAAGCCATGGCGAAACAAACAGCGGTATCCAAGCTCGGGTTTGGCCGACAAAAGGCACGACAGACATCTCCGGTTCAGCCGGCGCGTATGCTGGGTGTGCACCTCTGTGCGCGCACGCGGCATCTTTCAGATACTAGAGCTGAGAGTTATTTTTATGGCTAAAAATGACTGAACAAGAATCATAATAAAATAGTAAGTTCCTGATCTTACTAACATTAATATTTAAGGTACCAATTAAGGCAAGTTTTCAGTCAGAATAGGGTGGTTTTTAGCTTTTAACTCTCCTGAGCTCGGGATATAGGACAAGGGAGATTAAGTGTGGTCCAATTTATCTAAGGGAAATAAATAGCTACACATTTTGGCCAAAACATCTATAAAACGAAGGTCCTTTTGTTCGAAGAAATCGGATGTTTTCCCCTGTCTGTGAAGTCAGCTTCCGGACACCCCGCTCTCCCGCCCCCCGCCCCGCACGGCCGCTCTTCCCGCCGGAACCTGTGCGACCTGGCACGTGTCCGCGGACTGCTGTTCCTTGTTTAGCAGGGCCCTCGGTGTGGCGAAAACCTCAAGTTCAGTCATCATTTCCAGACAGGGAAGAAACACCCAACATTTAAAAAAGTGAAACAGTTCTTTCTCTTCTGACAAAGGCACCAAGCTGGAGTGCCGAAGGCACAGTGCACACTCAGCTTTCACTCGGGGTTTGTTTCACTGTGAAGTGTGTACTATTACTGTTAGAACCTCACACATTCAAAGGCTTAACTTTATACTTAGTCCTTTCAATTATCCACCTCGGTAGAAATTTTACCTTTTGGAATTTAAGCATGCAGCAAAAAAGTGCAAATGTTTTACAAAGCCTTTTGGTTTCTATATTCACTGTAACAGCCAAAAGAGCTGATGAACAGGGAGGGCTCATCCAGCCACTTGACATCCTCATTTACAAAGCAGGCACCAGGAATTCTCTTTCAGGAACAGTGCTCGTTGCAGTAAGAATCAGAAATAGTCCATGATCAAAACAGTACAAACTGATCTCTGCAAAATCATTAGTTTTTCATTTTCCAAGGGACAAATACAATTTTAATAATAAAGGTCAGGGAAAAACAACCACAAAGCATAAGGCCACTGAGACAGCAATCACTTGCTTAGCATTGGCTGAGAAATCAAGCTGGAAACGCCCTCAGTCAAAGGAGCCAGGTGGCTGGCGGGCAGCAGGACTCACAGATCAGGACCTGCCGCCCAGAACGTGTCCTTCCCAGGGCCGGGCCCGCGCTGGGAGTGCTGTGCAGGAGGCAGGACGGGCCCAGGGAACACAGGGAAGGAAAGATGATGTTAAATAACTACACATGCCTAATTCTGGTATCTTGTCTCCTACATATAAGAGAAGGACACACAATGTCACAAGCATCCAACCTACTAGGCAATTACTGTTCCTTTAACAACAGGGTGCTTTTTAAACGAGTAATTTAAAAAGGACCATGGCTTTGCTTTAGAACATCAAGACCACACATGAAGCTCTCATACTCAGACATTACCACTGCTGCAACCACTCTGTCTGTAACTAAGCATGAGGTAACAGACCTCTGCCCCGGCCAGGGCGTGACGACAGAGGAACAGGCGGACGGTGAAGGACAGCTTCACATGGCCTGCACTTCCCCATCCTCCACATCCCTTCACATGTCTGCCAGATTACCAAGAACATTCTCACAGTCTTATAGACCTTCGACTTCATTATAAATAAAGGTGGTATTTGCTCCTTTCTTCACTGGTAAACAAATAGGAAAATGTCAACAAACATGCTTGGTAGGAAACAACTTGGAGAGGGGCAGAATGGGTGAGAGAGAAAAATAAACCAATAGTAGAAATAATACTCCTCAGTTTTAATGTGTGCAAATTCTATTTCTAAAAGGGATAAAAAGAATTGGCTTTTAAAACAATGCACTCAAAATAATGCCTCCAGTAATAACCTTCAAAGTGTCAACGAAAAAGAAAATCTGTGTTTATGGATATGTGGGAATTCAGACATGTTCTTTCGTTTTAGGTCACTCAACATGAACTTGGTTTAATGTCTAGAATATGCAATAACTTAGGGGAGGCCACAGTTCCTCTTCAACTATCAGATCTAGCTGGCCAAGAACACTGGAGTGAAGGCGTGTGGTGATATTTTTTAAGTCTAATTAACCACCCCAAATCTCCATATCCTTTCAGGGAGTTAATTTCCTCTGGACAATTAAGGGCTCTGAAAGTCTAGTTTTGCTATAAATATAAAATAATTCGTAGCAGAAAAATATAGCCTCTCTAAGTAGATTTCATTTGTCTTTGTTCACTGACAAAACTCTGAGCTGGTTAGACAACAGGAGTTACCCCATCACTGCGGACTACAGACCAGCACCTCGAATTCCAGCTCTACTTACACAAAAATTAAAAAGCCCTTCTGGTCGTGTATAAATGTTGGTTCCCTTCTTCCCCGCGGTAGAAAATTCAAAACACAGTCACTGGGACTGCCTTCTGCTGACGCAGCGTGGGAGCAGCGTGGGAGCGGCGGCATCACGTGCTCCCCGGCTGTGGCGCTGCCGCCGGGCTGGCTCTCGACCAGGTGGTGGAGACACCAGGGCCGGGTGAGCGCGAAGGACTCCAGGCCATGGGGGTTGCCGTCAATTCTACAGTCACGACAATACTTGGTATTATCAGAGCAACTGCTCACTGGCAGGAAGTGGGGTACAGTAGAGTCCTTCACAATTTATGTTTTACAGATGACGGTTAGAATTTACAAAACAAGTATTTCCCCAGAAAACTTAAAAGAAAATCATCCACAAAACCCTACACCAAAATTCACTGTTTAAAATATTTCCTTCTGGGAATGGACTAGTGTGGCTACCGAGAGGACGGGGATCTTCAGGGCTGAAACTGCTTCTCATTTTGTTTGCAACTTGCATCCTGCTGGTTAAAAACACAGAAATGTCTCCAGACCATTCACATACCCTTTCAGGCTACATTGCACTCTGTCCTCTAGTCAGGAAAGGCGAAGATCCTCTCTGAAACCAGCCTCCTCACTTCTACTTCTGCACAACCACTGTGCCCAACTAGTGACCACATCATTCTTGAGTCTCAGTGGACAGATGTCCTGGCCATCTCATGGTGCTTCTCAAGTTCTGGTGTCCTGATGAGACATATGTCTGGACTGATTTTGAGGCTTCCAATGTGCAAAATAGTTCCCAAGGCATCCAATCAGCTTGGGCCTCTGCTAAGGTGCTCTGGTTCCTTGTCTGAGCCACTGGAAACCCTGTCTCGTGTAGTGCACCAGATCCGTCAAGCTGCTGTTCAGGGCGAGGGTGCACACGCTTGTGCTGAGCTGAGCAAAAAACTCTGCAAACAAAGCAACACCAGAACCAGGTAAACACACATGCACACACGAAAAAAAAAAAAAAGGCAACAAAAAAATCATTTTTGGGGATTCCAGAAATGATCCCCCAAATAGTCTGCACTTCACAATCTACTGTAATAGCCTGCTCTCTCTCCACACCCCTCCACTAGCAGAGGAGGGTAGGCACTGGGTTTTGTTTTAGGGTTGAATCCAGACACTGGAGAACACCGAATTTATACTTTTGGATTAATGGATTCATGCAAGAAAAAATAAAAACAAAACAAAAAAATCCCAATGTGTTTAAAAAGCATCATTAGTTTGCTAAGAAATTAAGTCCTAAGAGGCTGTGAGGAACCTCAGTGGCCACAGCCAGGAACACGGCGTGAGGCAGGAAGCTGCATTTCCACGTACGCGCTCGTCGCACAGGACACTGGCCCTGCTACGCAGCCCTCCCTCTAACAGCAGGCTCCTCCAGCTCCCAACCTCGACTTCTCCGAGGGCCTTGGTCTCCCGCAAGTTTGAAGAAGGTTCACTTAAGCTATATTTCTTGTACTGTCGCTCACCACCTTTCTTAACACACTGAAAATAAACATTACACCGAGTCTGCAGGTCATGCTACTGCTATCTCCTGCCTGCTGTACCCAGGGACAGCCAGGCCGCTCCTCTGGCCTTGCCCTTGAGCTACCGCTTCACTGCAGAGCGAGGGCGCCGGCCTTCCGAAGGGCAAGGCACCGAAGCCACTTCCACGGCAGACAGTCCGCTCCACGCCGTAGAGCTCGGAAAAGAACTGCGCCTAGTTATGAGGTGGGATGGAGAACATGGGCGAAGAGCAAACAGAACACTTCTCCCATTCTTCAAAACACTGAACACACAAAACGATTCCCTCCTAATCCCCAGTGATCACCACCACAGAGCCATTTACCTTTATTCTTCCTTGTAAGGACCTCGGCCTGTTCCCAAAGATCGAAGGCGGCAAGGATGTGGGAAGTGATGGTGATGTAGGAAGATGTCATGTTCTGGATGGCGGCAGGCATCCCGCCGCTCCCCACGCTGCCAGCACCAGCCTGGGACCCTGCGGAGCTGACAGAAGGCACTGGAGAGAGAGGGGACGGTGTGCCTGTGCTTCTGGAGGGTGAAGAGCAGACAGAACTGGTTAGTCACTCAACCCCCAAATCACAGATTCCCTGTCTCTGGAACTGTGGGCCAAGTCACAGTTTCAGTGTGTATTAGCCAAAGTGACAATCATTTCTGTAAGGTCAAAGACACACCCTTCACCTTTAGTCTGGGAATTTATTTCATAAAACACAGTGAGATGGGGCCACCAAATGGATGGCGGCCCGGTGTCCTTCACTGGAGGCAGGATGAGGCGGGCAGGTCTGTCCTCCAAGTCTGCTTTCCCACCCTGCCTGCACCGTCTACTCCCCAGGCCTGGAGGGAGTCCCTTTCCTCCCCGCCCCAGCCAGCTCCTCCCTGCAAGACAACGCTGCCCTGTGCAGGCCGCTCCCTCCCACCCCGTCACCTACGGTGAACATGAGCGGAGCACCCTCTGCTCCGCACTCTTCTAGACACCGACCTTGACCCTCTGCATTTCTCCACTAACTTATCTACTGCATTTCTCACATTCCACACTTTCCTGTTTATTCCTTTATCTGGGTCACAAGCACCTTGAAGGCAGGGACCATTTCTTACTAATCTTTGAATCTGTAGCACGTAACAGGTGCTAAGAGTAGGTCCTTGATAAATATCTGCTGAATCACTGAATGACTGCAGCACAGCCTGCGGGGAGGCCGCAAGGAAGCAGTGAACCAGGGGACTCGCGGGCTTCTCTCTGCTCTCCCGCGACCATGCATCTGCACACGGAGGCTGACAAGTGCCTTGATTTCGGCCACTGAGAACACAGGTGAGGTCACTCGGACCTCCCGGGTGAAACGGGGAAAGATAAGTCAGCAGCAGTAACCTCATGCTGTGCCCACACCAGCCCCGGGGTGCGAGAACCCGAAGTGTGCCGAACAGAATGCCCATCCTAAGGCCCAGAGTGGAAGCACATGAGGGCAGCAAGTCTCGCTCTCTGTTGACTGCTGTATCCCAGCACCTAAGACAAGGCTTGGTACAAAGAAAGTGCTCATTGGCTGACAAATGAAAGGAGCTACCTAGAATAAAGTGACTGACAATGTTTTAGCTTAGACCTTCTCAGAGGTGGGAATTGTGAAACATTTCAGAGGTAGGAAGTTATTTCTCAGCCAGGACTTTTTGTTAAGGGCGGCCACATGGGGATCTCCTCCTTTGAACATACTGGAAATGGGGCAGTCTGCTGGGTGACATTCTTAAAATAGCGAACCTATCAGAACTGGGAACTTTCAAGGAGTATAACCAAATTTTAAAAATATCAGGCAAATACTATAGGGAAGAAAATTCTATCTTCACTTGCACAAGGAATTTTTTCAACATCTTATAGACGATTACTTTCAGTTCAAAAAGTAGGGGGAAAATTTAACTGGGAAAAATCAGTTTTGTTCTTAATATCAGTGTTAGGGATCCTGGAGAAGGCTGAGGGCATGTGTTTCTGGAAAGTCCCAGTTTACTAGAACTCCAAGATGACATGTCCAGAGAAAGAAAGGTCTTTGACTCTGGTTCTCCTGGCTTTGCCTCTAGTTCAGTGGTTCTCAACCTTCCTAATGCCGCGACCCTTCCATACAGTTCCTCGTGTTGTATGTGGTGTATCTGCATGGGGGCGGACCCGCCTGGAGATGGAGAGAGGAGCGGTCTCGGTTCCTAAGACCACTGGGAATATAGGTTTTCTGATGGTCTTATGCGACCACTATGAAAGGGTCGTTTGACCCCCAAAGGGGTCGCGACCCACAGGTTGAGAACCGCTGCTCTAGTTGCTTTGTGGTGCTAGGCATATCTAAGGATCCTCCAAGTTTTGACATTTTGACTGTTAGTTTTCATAATTATCAGCAAACATCTTAATTTAAATTATTCCTCAAAAAGTAGAAATAAGCAAATGATTTCGTGAGGAAGCAAATCAGCACATAGATGTATACAGCTTCTTAAGAGGCAAAGGCACATGCACACACAAATAGCTGCAGAAGCAAGAGGTAAATAATGACCTGATATTGAAAATTATTTAAATTAGACTTATCATTACCTTGCAATGCATGGAGAAGGTGCCTGGGTAACTCTGGAAGAACTCTGGAAGTGTTCGTTAAGAGTACGGGAATACTTTATTGCTCTATCCTTTTTACAACGAAACATCGCCATGTTCAAAATGGACTGGCAACGCATGCTGCACATAGAAACAGAGGCAGACTGTCACTACCACAGAAGGAGAGCCATCGGACCTTTTACAAGTGACAAATACCCTGGGCTTCCTCATCTCCATGAGGAAGGATATCCTACTGCACTCTTCCCAGTCTAGAAAAACACAAATACACAGGGACATAACGAGTCACCAGACCAGAACCTGTATTGAGCCATCAACAAAAGGGCAGTAGGTGCCATTTTATAATAATTGACTATCAGTGCGATCAACCCCTTGACCTTAAACTTTTATTGATCACCTTTCACTGCAATTTTCATGCTAAGCAAACAAATTTCAAAATCTTTTTTGTAACATCAAAAGATACAAAAGCAAAAATTATACTGTTAAGAAAAAGAAAAAATACTCACCATAAAACAGCAAATATTTTCTCTTGTGTTGGTGCTGTGGGGTCTGAGAAGGATTTTAATGACATTATGAATCTACAGAAAAATACAAAAATAGATGAGGTTAAACAAAAGCAGTGGGAAAATCTCTGGCACAAAGACATCTCATTATGTTTGTCTCAGTTTTATATTGATTTTTCCTGAAGATGTGAAGATGAGAGCAATGCAGGGAGGAAAAAAAAAAAGGCTCTGGAGCAACAATTCAGGGCATTCAGAAAACGAGGTGAGGACATGTCTCTTCTCTGGCCTGTCCACCTGCTCGAACCCATGCAGACTTGTGTCCTGACTGAGGCCCTTGTTGAAATATAGAAAATAAAGACGGGAGCTTAAACTGAGATGACAGGGCATCTGATAAGAAAGCCACACTGGAAAAAACAACCTCTCCCTGAAAGGTTTGGCATTTCCCAGCGCACTTGGCAATGATGTAGCTGGATCCAGCTTTTCTGTTCCAGCATTCACCCAGAATATAATTTTAATTCAAGACAAGAAAAGGTTCCTGGATCAGTACCTTTTTAAAGGCTCCCTGTTATTAAGCTGTCTTCATACTGAGGTTCAAATGGATTATGGCAATAAAGGTGAGGAAAGAGAAGTCCTTAAGGGGATGGCAAAATGACCTGGCACTCACTTAATGAGGTCTTCGGTTTCAGAGTACACCGAGTAAGCTGACTTGGATGCGGACTTGGACGCCGGGCTTTCAGACTCCATGGCAATCCCACACTCAATGAAGGACAAGACGGCTTCCAAGTATTTAAAAGCCTTCCCAACCTTGTCCGCCTGTGGAAGAACATGGCCATTGTTAGGCCTCAGTCAGCCTTTTATTTTGTTTCTCACTCACATTCTCCACTGTAACTCCCCTCTACGGCCATAGATTAATTGTGGCTACAGAGTGTGTGAGAGCAAACCCACTCAAAATGATTAACAAAGCCCATGGCTCTGACCTACTGAAAATGTTCTTTGAGCACAAATTCGGTAAGAAAAAGAAAACAATTTTGTGTTAGGACGATGCTCTCAAAACCTTGAAGCACATATTCAAACTAAGGCAATGAGCACATACTCCCCTTGTCATTAGTGTGACTAATTACTCCTTACATAATTTTCCTGAGAGAGATTATTTTGCACATCTAGGATAATGCAGACACAAATTTTTTTTGTATGTGAAGTTTATTTTACAATAACTAGAAACCATTATGGTTTATGAGCATCTTAGATATTACGTGAAACAATAATCTTAGAGGCCAACAGATGGTCTCATCTCCTTTGGAAGTAGGAGTGTACAAGGTCATCCCCTGGGCCAACAGGGATAAAATCCCAGAGTTTCTTAAAGGGAATATAGAAATATAAATGAACTGAGATATTGGTGAATGCACATTTTATCACTTCACACTTCTCACTTAGTGGAATACAGGCAACTCAACGGAGACCGTGGTCAGCGCACCTCTGCTTCTTCTCGGAACACGGCATACATGTACAGGTCGTAAGGGCAACTGATGAACACATTTGCAAGTCTACAGTGTACTAATGCTTTCAATTTGGTAACGTTCAGAAAGAACGACTTAAAATAGTAAAGATGCAAGTGGAGTATAGAAAGACAGTGACATTAGCCAATAAAGGTGGTTTAGGGCTGTTAATTTTAACTTTTTAAAATAACTTGACTCTAAAATATGTTTTTCCTAGAGAACCTAGGCTCAGAAAAATGGTGACAAAAAAAAAAAAAAAATTCAAATTAGCATGGCTCAATTAATCAGCAGTACAGGACCTTATTGGTTTGCTTCACTGTTGGGAATTTAACTCCTCAAATTTATTTTTTCAATACCATATCTTTCATGGAATTTCTCAAATTTATATTGGCCTGGGGTACAAACAAAAGAAACTGCAATGAAGCAATCTGCTGACGCCTCCTTACGCGTTCATAAGGCCAGTACCGCGAAGCATCACACCTGCTGCTGCGCGCGTGCCCCGTACAGCTGAGGGCAGCAGGGTTCCACCTTCTCTGCTCAGTTGTGCACTAACTGTTTGGAATTTGAAAGGGACATCTTTGAGACACTGTGCAGTAAAGAAGAATATTACAAAGAGGCTGGCCATTCAGTTTTTTGTCTAAATTGACATATTTTGATATTAAAATGAGATATTATTATTACAATGGGATTCAACAGGCATAGATGAGGCCTGTCCAGGGAACACTGGGATTATGGTCAATTTAGGTGGAAAGAAGATGTGCCCATGTATAGACTAGAAGCAAAACAAAAGCAAATTCCCTGGAGAATGCTTCCTTGTTTGAATAAGGCGATCGTCTAGTGCTTCAAGTGTCCAGGGTCAAGATAAGTTTTAGATAACGGCTGACAAAGTACAGACTATTTACTCTTTTTCAAAACTGAAAAGATGTATACAGTCCTAGCAACAACCTTGGAATGTTGGAGGCAGAAGACTGAAAAGACACCACTGCTTGGCACAGCCTTGGTGCTCGGACCCTGACTCAGGGCAGCCTGCACAGGGCTGCCTTAGAGCACGACAGGGGCTTGTCTCAGCCCCTTACAGCATCCGTCCCAACAAACGGACACCTGATAAAAGGGTCTCAGTCCAGCCCTCCCCAGCCTGTGTGAGAACAGACGCCAGTCCACAGACTTGATGGCCACCCTGGACGGATCGGATTCAGTTCCGTGTGGGCCTCCAGGGTGTGTGGTTAGGTTCGCATGTAGGAGAATAGGGGCAACGCACGTTCTTTTCATGTGGTATGAAACTGTCGGGATTTAGGTTTGGGGTATATATTATGTTTAAATGGTTAAATATGGCAAAGGGCAAACATTATCGCAATTAAGAAGAAAAACCACCACCTCCAGAAAGTCCAACGCCACCGGGCAGAGGTACCTTTCCTAAAGCATGTTCACCAACAGTGCCGTCACTGCCCGCATCTTCAAATCTCATCTAACGGCACTGGTCCGCTGTTCCCTCAGGTTAGTCTCTCAAGGACTTTAAGATCATTTTGGACTACAAATAGGCTACCCTCACCTTTCAAAATACTTCAGGGTGAACACACACAGATCACCTTCCAATAGTGGGACTCAGTTTTCATATCCAAAGAATTGGTTTGGGGGACGAGGAAGCACTCGTGTATTAAAACACCACCAGGAAGATCAACTTTCACTCATTTAGACATAAAACTTGTGACTAGGTACCCTGTGTATTTGCTCACGATCAATTACTGGAGTCAAAGAATTCACGAAGAAGCAGTCCCTCAGCCCTCCCTCGTTAAGCCCCTGCACTCTGGCTTCCTTTGCGGCGACGTCCGCTCCCAAGCCCTCGCCGCTGCGTTCAGTGAGAATGGAATGCAGCAGAATGAGATCACAAACTTTGTATCAGAAAATATTCTGCCAAACAGATAAAGAACCGAGACTGACCGTTAACTCAGCCTTTTGCTTCAACTTTTTCGCCTCCTTCATGTGAAGATCTGCTTGTCTGAAGGAGAAGAGAAGACCAGGGGTGGGTGATGTGCAAGTCAAACTAGTGGACTGGAGCAAGTGCCTGAAGGAGGCGGAGAGGGTGAGACAGGATGGGAGGAGGAGGAGGGCAAAGGAGGAGAAAGAAGGGGAGAGGAAACGAGGGGGCGAAATGGGCAAACAGAGGGTGAGAAGCAAGCATGGGGACTCTTACTTGTCAGACTTCACTGGAGGCTTCCCTGGTTTAGAGTTACCATTTGGCAAAGAAGGCACTGGAAAAGGATTTGCAGTGTCTCCAGAAGATCCCTTTAAAAAAATCATCATACAGATCACACTCTAACATTTAAGATCATTGACCTAAATATACCATCCCTTTAAATTACCCCAAAATAGTTCTAAAAAGGGAAATCAAACACTGCGCATTTAGTTTGGCCCTTTCCCAGCTAGATTAACCGAGACTATGGGTTCTGACTGTATTGGGGACTCAAAAAGATAGAAGACAAAACTGTCCGTGAGAACAGCGAATCAACAAAGCCAAATGTAACGTTTTCTTTTAGTCAGTACAAATACACATACACCCAGGTTAACAGGAAGAGGGGCTTGTATTCGAGAAAAGTAGGTACTTTTCTCCCATTACAATTAATAACCGAAAAATCTCTGAGATCAAGCATCCAAATCAAGAACCAGGGTAACCATTTCTTACTACAAAACACCTGAAAGAAAATTAACACAAACCATCTATTCTGATATTTCACTTCTGAATCACTTTAAGGATTAACTGACACCTAAATGTTCATATACTATTAACTATGTTTTACTCTCCCTTTAAACTTTAAACACAAATAATTCATTATTGCGTTTTTAAAAGCGATGAATAGGTCTGAAGCATCATTAAGAACGTCTCCAATTCAGGAACTGAAAGCAGACAGACCCACACGCTCCGTTTCATGCGGCGGCGCCCTCCACTTACTTTGTGTTCTGCAGAACTTCCAGAGCCCTTCCCCTCTGCTTTTCTGCGCTTGGGGACGGGAGAGTCCTTATGGTTGCCCTTGGTACTACTGGCACTTCTGGGAGGCTCCTGGCTGCCGGGATGTGCTTCCCGCCGGGGCCGCTTTTGTGCAGGCTTCTGGGAGGATGCGGACGAGGATGGCACAGGTGTAGGGGGAAGCATTTCCTTCTTTGAGGGCTCAGAGGAGGGCCTGGGTGTTCTGGAAAGAAACATAAAAAACTAAGTTAACACAGAACCTGAACCACCAATAAATCAGTGGTGAGTTGTTTAGTTAAAAGAACACAATGGCTGCTGACAAAAGACTAAGAAATCCATTTTTGTAGAAAGGCCAAATTTCAGGGACTTTTTGATGCCTTTGAAAAATCTAGTCCTATCGCTGAGTGATAAACGAAGTTCTGCGATTTGTCTCTCAGCTTGCAGTCTGCAGCGGCCCTGACTCCTAACAATTCGTCTGCATGAGCCACTCCCCAGCCTGGCCTTCCTGCCGCCGGGCGAGCCAGCTCCGCATCTGACTCCTTCTCTCTCAGTCCCTCCCCCAGGGTGACACTATGTACTAGTTTTATCATGTCATTTTGTGGAGTTCTTGAAAAAAATCAGAGAGAATAACAGTTACCTTTTGTGACTTTAGACAAATAATTTTCTCTCTCTGTGCCTAGTTTCCGCAAAATAGGAATAATAACACCTTTCTTATTTTTATGTAAAAATTATCTTAGAAAGAAATTAATTCCAGGTGTTTAGAAAATTTCTCACCGTTAAAATACTTTGGATAAATCCAAGTTTGCTGCCCAATGAACTGTTAATTTCTATAAGGTCTCATAGATAAAAGCAAAATGAAACAAACTTAGCACATCATCAAAACGAGCCACAACGAGTGTATTACTTCTCACATCTACTGCAGAAGAAAACGTTTCTGCCACGTCAAGACCCAAGAAGACTCGATCACCTTCCTAGGCTGTTCCTAATCTCTTATACTCACTTTATTTTAGAAGATTCTTTGTGGGAGGACGAAGATGATGACTGTGATTTAATCTCTTTCTCCAGTCGAACTTTCTTGCTATCATGGTCTCTTTCTGCTTCACCCTACGATTATAGTGTAACAAAGTAATTGTTACAAACATAATTGTACAGACAGAATAGGAAAAAATATATAGCAAAAGCAATGAGAATAACTAGACTTTTGGAGACATCTACCTCTACACACATAGCAGTGTGTGTGCGTGTGTGTGTGTAGGCAATCTAGATTTCATGTGCTCTGTGTGGAGACCAAGTTTTGCATGAGGAACGACTATTTTCATACCCAGGAAGGGGAGGATATCTAAGTAATAGCTGACAAGAAGAAGTAGGAGACTTCAACACATCATTGGTGTTTTCCTATATATAAAAGAATCAATAAAACATGCAGATTCACATCAAGTGACAACAGATAATTTTATGAGTAAGGTTCCCCCCTTCTTTAAAAGAACCATCCACTTACATCCACTAATTTATCGGCCATATAAAATTAGGAGTGGAGCCCTGGCCGGTTTGGCTTAGCGGTTAGAGTGTTGGCCTGCGGTCCAGAGACACCCGGGTTCGGTTCCCGCTAAGGGCACGTACCTCGGTTGCAGTTTGTCCCCAGCCCTGGTTGGTCATGCGGGTGGCAGCCACTCGATGTGTCCCTTTCACATCGATGTTTCTCTCTCTCTCTCTCCCTCCCACTCTATCTGAACAAAAAATGAAAAAATGTCCTTGGGTGAGGATAAAAAAAAAAAAAATTAGGAGTGGAGTACTTTAAGCTTAGTTTTTCTTCTAATGAAAAACAAGCACCTTGTTGGAAATAAAACAGACCACAAAATCCTGTCTAGATATGTTATGGACAAAACCAGAAAGACACAACAAAAGAATAGCTGCTTTGGTATTTCAGCTTTCTCTTCCATTGATGTCTGTTCTTTTATTATTATTTTTAATCCTCACCTGAGAAAGAAATATCAATGTGAGGGAGAAACATCGATCAGTTGCCTCCCGTATGCATCTCGACCGGGGACCGAACCCACAACCTAGGTATGTACTCTGACCGGAAATTGGACCCGCAACCTTTTGGTGTATGGGACAATGTTCCAACCAACTGAGCCAACTGGCCAGGGACATACCGGTATTGTTTTGTTTTTTAATACTGTTTTTATATCTTTCTCTACATATATAGAGTCATGTTTTTATTTTTCAAGAAATTTGATAGAAAATGAATTGTAAATATGATTTTACAGAGGGAAGAGGAATGAGAAGGGATATATAATTCCACAAGAGTTAAGAACCTCAAGACATCCCTTTAAACCAACTAAAGTGTGAGATGAACACACATTAGGAGAACAAATAATTCTTCATGGAAAAGTCTTCCATGCTCTTGGCTCAGCTGTTGACATGTCAGCCGCCCTTCACAGTGCCTCCTTCCCACTGGTCCAGGCTCAGGAAACGCCCACGGGAAGGAGCCACTGCCTCTCCAGCAAGTGACAGCGAAGGGATTGGTGAGAGTCCTTCGGTTAACTCTGACGCACATTTAGAATTAAACTGCTCCAACTGTCAGTTCACCGAGCTAGAAATCTGGGACAATCCCTTGAAAACCTGAAATCCTCCCTTGAAGCCTTAAAGGAAAAAAACATTCTCCAAATTAACTAACTGCAGGAAACCCCCGTTTTCCACCACTGTCTCTCTCCTGTTCCCTGAATTCCTCCAAGAAAAATGAAGCTCCGCCCAGACACTAGCAGCAGCCAGGCTTAGAAGAGCCACGCCCTTCCCCGGGGAATCCTGCCGACACACTGCCCTCCCCGCCCGTGCCGAGTGCGCACTTCCACTCAGCCCCTCACCAGCTTCTTGGGAAAAACACTGTATTCCTTGTCTCAAAATGGATCATTCCAGGTGGCTGACAAAGATACTTGCTCGACCTCTTGGAGTGCACTCAAGAGAGACCTATGAGAAGCCAGAGGGACACTGCGGGTGGGGGAGGCGCGTACTTCCAGGGCCTGGGTCCCGCCGTCAGCACTGCCACCCACCGCCTCACCGGGGAGTTGGACAGGCCAGTCTGAAGCGACAAGTAACTTCAAAGTCTTAGTGCAAAAAAGGGAAATGTAATAATTTTTATTTTGATTAAATGTTAAAGTGATATTTTAGATATATTATTAGATAAAATAAATTATTAAAATCATTTCATTGATTTTTTACTTTTTATATAGTTTTTAAGGTGGTTGCTAGAAAATGTTAAATTCCACATGTGGCGCCCACTTTATTTTTTGTGGACAGTGGTGTTCTGCTCAATTCTCTAGAGGGAATCTGCAGACGAGGCCCTGAACTCCCAGGCAGCCCGTGCAAAACAGGAATTATAAAATGTACAGCTGAGAGAAGATAAAAGCGAGTCGGTTCCTCAGAAATATAACCATTCATTACAGAAGACTGGAGAAAATGTATCTTGAGGGACCTAATGAGGAGATAACATGTGACAAAATAAGCACGTCCCAAAGGCACAGCTGAACCGCGAGAGGAAATGTCACCGAGCCACCTCTCGAGCGGCAGGCAGCGTGCGCCGGTGGCGAGTCCGGGAGCACAGTTCAGGAGATGGCGGCCGCTGGGCTCTGCGCGGCGGACAGGCCTCCAGGCAACAATCGTGGTGGCGACACTGGAGACTCAGTCAAGTTTGGCAGAGAAAAAAGAATCAAGTGGAAATGACTGGGTCCAGAGAGGACCCTACTCCTGGGGCTCAGTGGAGTCCCCCGAGCTCTGGACTACAGGCTGCAAAGCTGGTCTAGCAAGCAGTGCAGGAAGATGGAAAACTTATCTTTGGGAAAAGGCACAGATTTTGTTAAAATATCCAAACAGATATTGTACATGAGGTAGTTAGTAATACATACTTTTTGCAATGGAAGGTATTTCTAGGCAGTTAATGACACACAGGGTAAGTCCCCAAGGCAAACTAAGCATAAATCGTCAACAAGGTTCTGTCCTAAAGAGAACACCAGACCCCAGAGGTGGAATGAGAGTTAATTTTGTTTGTATATTTTCATGCTGCTTAGGACTTGCTAGTTATGACTATAAACCAAAGTGGCAGACCTTCTAAACCACATATGAAAATAAGATTCATAGTGAGTCAATCCTCACAAACTGGTTGTTATAACTCTGGCTCGTGCCAATCAGTGACTCCCGATAACAGCCAAAAAAACTAGAAATCAGCAAACACTGATTTCAAGGCTAGCATTAAGCTCCTCGACTTTGGGCGAAGACCAAGTGCAGTACCAAGGCTAGCATTAACCACTGGGTTGGCACTCCCTGGAATAATGTGCTTTAGATTGACATGCAGCAACTCAGAAGCTGCTAATATTCTGTGAGCTGGAAGAGAGTAAGCCATTAATCCAAATCAAGCAAAACCCCTTCTGTTTACTCTGCTTGCCTGAGGTTAGAATTTCTGTACACTGTGCACTTGGAACCCTGTCATCTCCTGCCTGCAACAGTCACAGTGGCTTCCCCAGAGTAGGCACTCAGCGAGTATCTGTTAACTGGCACAGAAATTAAGTTTAGCAGATGAGGGGCACAGCTGAGGTCCCGGGAAGCAGGACTGCACCATACCTTTAAGTGAGCAGACTTTAGTAAGACAGCCTTGCAATACCAGGTGGCAGGAAGTGCAGACTTGGATTTTAAGGCTGGAAAACAGGAAGCCAGAAGTCTTTGAGATTCTTCTAAATCAAGGAGCCATTTGAAAATGAGATGAGAGTGCCCGGCCAGTGTAGCTCAGTGGTTGAGCATTGACCCATGCACTAAGAGGTCGCCAGTTCGATTCCCGGTCAGGGCACATGCCCAGGTTGTGGGCCCGATCCCCAGTGGTGGGCATGTGGAAGGCAGCCAGTCGATGTTCTCTCGTTGATGTTTCTATTTCTCTCTCCCTTTCCCTTCCTCTCTCTCTAAAATCAATAAAGAAAAAAAAATTAAAAAAAAAAAAAAAAAAGAGACGAGAGTGATAAACTCCCTTAAAGAGGAAAAAGAGATCTCCTCTGCCCTGTGGCTTAGCCCAGATCAACCTCCACTTCAAGGAAGCCTGTCTGGGTCCGGGGGTTGGAAGGTTCCCTTTCCAGAGGGAAGTACCTCAATGGTACTGCACCTACAACAAAAGGAGGCTGCTGGCTGGCAACCTGGCATGAACTGACTTGCTGGCTTTTCTTAACCTGTTGGGTCAGGCAGCCATGGATTATCTGCCAAGTGCTGCTCCACCCAGCAGAGAGCAAAGGGCAAGAATGAAGCCCATAAAAGGAGATGCTGGGCCTGTGCGAGACCAGGATGGTTTCTGGGAGTGCTGCAGGGCAGCCTCCCTGGCACCTGCTCACCACTGGTACCTGTATGCAGCAGAGAGATGAAGGGGCATTTTCCGAACTGACATGCAGTTTGGGCCACAGTGTTTCTAACAGGTGTTAGGAGAGTGTGCGGGGAGCCTGGCTGCGATGGGGAGGGATGAGGGCACCTGAAAGGCAAACTGAAGTGGAGAAGGAGAGTGGGAGTGGGTGGGAGTACTGGGTGGTAGGGGTGTGCAAAATAGTGGGATAGAGCCAGAGATGATACTGTAACTGCTAGAGTCAGTACACTGACCTTGAACTATGACCGTATGACCGTCTCCCCACTAGACACTTGGAGAAGAACAGAAAGATCACTGGACTGTGAGGAGTCAGCACATGCGAGCTCCAAATCTACTTTCACTAAGCAGCCAAGGGGTGTCAGAGCCTCTCTGGTTCTCACCCATGAAAGGCAGCGGCTGAACAAGTGACATGCAGGTCTCAGCACTCAAATTCTCTGACTGTCATTTTCTCCCACAGGGAAGCAAATGGGCTTGGTAGCACGTGGAGCAAAGGAAGTGCAGGAGCAGCCAGCTAGGGAATTCAGGGGCTTCTCTGGGATGTGCCCCTGCAGGAGGTCCCAGAGCAAGAAGGCAGAGCAGCCGCCAAGGCCAAGTCAGCACCGGGCGAGAGGGTGGGACTTACTGAGCAGACAGGTTGTCGTCACTGGGTTAACTACTATAGAAAAGGAAAACTTAGCCACTTTTTTCCTTCTTTTTGGTGAGGGAATACAATGGCTTACAACAGTCTTAACATGCATATGGTTATAATGTTCTTCCCCAAGTAACTAGCAAGCATGAAGAAATTAGACTGAAGTGGCCTCAGGGAACTATAAGGAATGACTTTTCAAACCCTTGATTTTGAAAGATAATAACTGAGAATGTTGATCTGGAGAAACAACCCAAGAAAGACAGTCAGATCTCAGACAGAGGGAAGGACTGAACCGACAACCATCCTCAAGCAATAGAAATGCATGGTTCCCCACCACATCCCGAAACTTCCCTTCCAGGCCTCAAAACACAGATAATGACAGCACTGAAAGTTGTTTCCAAAAATGTCAAAGCTTCTTGGTCAGTAAAGCAATGAGTTAGAAAAGGAAAAGACTTGAATGAATGTACCTCCTTGTCCTGTTATCGAAATGACTATTAAGACAGTCTAGCAATTTTTTTGAAAGGCAATTTATAAAATGATTGAAGTAACTGAGCTATTAGCTATAAAAGTGCCCAGTACAGTGCTCGGCTCACACATGGACTCTGTGCATACCACGTGCATTTTTAGAACACTCTCAATTGCTGGCCTGACTGTGTATTATATTGTGCTTCTCAACTTCAATTTTTCTTCCAAATCTGGAAAACATAACCTTGGTTTAAAAATTATTAAAAGAAAAAATAAGTTGTATTTTGCATTCTAAACTATAATCAGATGATGAACTTCTGTCGTTTATGTAAAGAGCACTGTGTATGTTCATGCTTATTCACCCTCACAATTTTCTCCCCTTTTCCTCATAAACTGTCCCTACCCATTCCTTTATAGTAAAATTATACAGACGTCTGTATGTCCACATATTTCTACAGGTGCCCTACCTGATGGCTTCTTCACAGCTGTTAATCACCATTAACATTTTATGATCATCTTCTCAGACTTTCAAGTCTAAAATGGCTGCAAGGATCTGCTTACCCTCTCAAAACATTTGCTAAATTTTGCACCAGGAGAGGAAGAGACTCTAAAGGACCTTTAAATAAAAACACTAAATTTCACTGATGTAAAAGATCAGGCAATCTTCCACTGAATCCTTAGAGAGCTTTTTCTAGTGATCACACTTAAAATAAAGACCATGAATAAGTCTCCACTACTGAAATTTGGGAAAAAGCATCCAAATTTATTTTATTTATTTACTTACTTATTTACTCCAAAATATATTTTTATTGATTTTTTAGAGGGGAAGGGAGAGGTGGAGAGAGAGAGAAACATTGAGAGAGAGAAACGTGCTGCCTCCTACACGTCCCACACTGGGGATCCAGCCTGCAACCTGGGGCATGCGCCCTGACCCAGAATCAAACTGGTGACCTCTCAGTGCATGGGACGACACTCACCAGCTGGGCAATAAAAGCGCTCAAATATAAAGAGATGACAGCCCTGCCTCTGCCGAAGGGTCCAGGCCACGTGCGGGGCTGCCCGCGGGAGCAGTCGCTGCCCTGACCAAAGGAGTCAGGGTCCTTTCGGGAAAGCAGAGCCTGTCCCACACAGGGAGGACCTGAGGTTAATGATGCTCAGTATCAACCGTACCTGGAACTCAGGAGAAATTGAAATCAAATGACATGATGCTCAGATCATGAAATAAGTACTGTATACAGTGAATTAATTTTTATAGTTACTTCTTTAAAAGCTTTTAAGTAATGTTTTTAACTAGTGACATACTTGAAGCAAGGAATTCCTGGTTGCTTAGATCCATGATGATTAAAAACACAGCAGAGTGGAAGAATTTCTCCACCAAAGGACTAGCTTTCTACAGTGTTCGCTCTGCAATAAGGCTCTGCTGCTGGAGTTCCCAGACCCTTAGGCATTGGGATTAACTGAGAATTTAAAAATACCAATGGGGGTGAGGGGTTTGAGGGTGCACACCCTGCCACCAGTACCAACGGCTCACTGGGTGATTGTAATGAGCAGCCAGGGTTTGGAACCTCCAGCTCAGACCCTGGTCCTGTCGATGCCAGAGCAGAGAGGCAGACTGTTCTCAGGGCCAGACCTCTGAGCTGCTTGCCCAGGCTTTAAAGAAAGCACACACTTGACTGAGATGAGGGGGTCATTACTTCTCCATCCTCTAAACAGGAAGATAAATGAGCTGCTCTGGTGGAGCTCAGCCAAAGGCTGGGAACGGCTTTCAGAGGGCACGGTTCACACACTCCGCAGGGAGAGCTGAGATTCCCTTTCGGGAACAGCCAGCAGTGCCTCCAGATCTGCAGTGTGTGGACTGAGCTGCGACCGGCCTGGGGAACCTCCAATTTCTAACATTTTCACCTGGTTAGTAAGCATTTTAGAAGTGAATACATCTCACTCCAGCTAATGCAGAAGGTGAGCGTTGGAAACTAGACAAGCCCATGGTAGCTGAGGAGATAGGTGATGAAGATTTCCCAGGAGGAGGAGGTAAATGTGGGTATTTTTGAAGTCTTTTCAGTTATATGAAATGCAGGAACCTTTTTCCTAGCCAGGTCCAGCAGAATTTCACACCTTTAACACACAAACATTGTTTTAATGGTTTTCAGACTTCTCTTCTAGCTGAAAGAGCACCACCAACTAGCATGTGACCCCCACCCACTCGACTTGCCACTGCAGTCATGATGTCCCATTCAACAAGGTTCTGGAGAAAACAGTTGCCCGCACTGTTTGTTAAAGTCATGGTATATTTTTAACCCAATGGAGTAATCAGCTGAATCACAGACATGACAGCAGGCTTCATGATCTCTCTGTCCTTTGTTATTCTTAGCTCAACTTCCACAACTGAGTAAGACGTTTCTTCTGTACTTAAAAGAGTATTAAACTTTTGACTCCTTCTCAGCAAGAAAGAGTTGGTCTTCTAGTGCCTTTCACTCTGAATCTTGGACAGGTTGACTGGGAGAAAAACTCACTTACCTTTCATTGTCAAGCAGCAGCAAAAAAATCAACCGGGAGCCCAATTATTAAGAATAAGGGAAGGGCCCTGGCTGGTGCGGCTCAGTTGGTTGAGCACCGAAAGGTTGCTCGCCTGCTCGATTCCCAGCCAGGGCACACTCAGGTTTCGGGTTCGATCCCCAGTTGGGGTGAGTGCAGGAGGTGACTGATTGATGTTTCTCTCTCACATCAATGTTTCTCTCTCTCTCTCTCTCTCTCTCCCTTCCTCTCTTTCTAAAATCAATAAAAACTTTTAAAAAAGAAAAAAAGAAAGGAAGGAGGGAAACTGTCCAAAATAGTGATATGTCCATGTAATAAGGATCTTAATGCAGAGATTTTTTTCTTCCGTTTTTTACTATGTCATTCCTTAAGTGAAACTTCCAAAAATTGAAATAAATAAAATGAAAATGACAGATCTTTAATACTTTATAAGCTACCATTCCATCCTATATTAGTCAACAGGATGTCCTAATCATAAATGTAATAAACTCTAAAACCTTTTAAAATAATGTTCTGCTTATTAATAAAAGTCAGTGATGGAGGTCACAGAGTCTAAGTCTGGTGTGTTCAAAGTAATAAGGTAGTATGTGGCCACGAGCTAAAATGTGGATGCAGTATCAGTATCAAGAAGATTTACAGGAGTAAACCTTAGTACAGAGCATGCTTTCAGGAATTTATAATTCTAGTTAACATTTCAATTCATGTACGGTTTTAATTTCTAGGGCAAAATCTAATGGGTGAGGTGGTAAATATCAATGTTATCAGAATAAAAATGCACCCCCGAGTCCTGGCCGGTTTGGCTCAGTAGTTAGAGCGTTGGCCCTCAGACCAGAGAATCCCGGGTTCAGTTCCCGCTAAGGGCATGTATCTCAGTTGCAGTTTTTCCCCAGCTCTGGTTGGGGTCGTGTGGGTGACAGCCACTCGATGTGTCTCTCTCACATTGATATTTCTCTCTCCCCTGCTCTATCTGAAGATGAATGCAAAAAAAAAAAAAGTCCTCAGGTGAGGATTTCAAAAAAAATGCACCCCGAAATGTTACATTATGCTAAAATGAGATACCCTTTACGATGACTCATCTTTTCCCAAGCTAGTGAGGCTGCCGAAGGAATCTGGAGCATGGTAACGCCCGTCTGCAGATGGGAAGCACCCACGTCTGCCATGAAGGAGTGACTGGTTTAGGAGCAAAGCCTGGATCACATCTGAACACTTCTAGCCTCTTCTAAGACAACCCAGGGCTGTAACCAAGGGTCAGTCAAAGACAGCCCTGGCCCACAGCAGGTACAGGCCACACTGTGGTGGAGGCCAGGCCCCTCACTCACCTTTCTCTTTTTGGCCAACTTGCTTGAGTTGTCTGAGCTCCTCTTCTCAGAATCCAGCTTCTTCCCTGCCGGTGGCTGTTTGTCCTCCGGTTTCTTCTGGCGGCTCCCCTTCCCAGGTGGCTGGGGTACCCAAGAGAGGAGGTCCAGGGTTATCTTCACCATCAAGCTTTGCGGGGGCGGAGTGTCCCTGAGCGGGGAGAGCAGCTTGGTGTCTCTTAAAGGCACCGGAAGTTTGTCCTTCCCATGGTCCTCCTGCACCACCACGGCCCGGCGACAGCCACTAGTCCTGCTGCCACTGCCACTGTCGTGCTTGGGGACCTGGCTCTGAGTCAGGGGGACAAGGGCCAAGTGCTCAGGGCTCCTGTCCTCCACATTGCCCTTTGTGGGCTCGGGCCCGGAGGGTGCCTGTGCAGGGGCAGGGGGCCCGGCCCTGTGCTTCTTCTTCTCGCCGGGGGCGGGCACCACCGGCTTAGGCTCCCTGCTGTCTCCAGCACGTGGCCTCCCTTTCGTCTTCACCTTGGGCTTATCTTTGGAAGGCTGGTCCTTGGAGCCGTGAGGGAGTCCTGGTTCACTCTCTACCTGCAAGCTGGCCCGAGAGTCAGAAGCAGAGGCCTTGACAGGTTTTTTGGGTTGTTTGGTTCCAACGGTTTGCCTCTGTGGCGGCTCCTGTTGGGCCGGGGACTTCTGACAGCTCCTCTTGCCAGCGTGGGAGCCTTCGGGAGGGACGCGGGGGGCTCTGCCGGAGTTTTTGGGGGGAGGATCTTTGGATTCTGAGTGCTCGTGACTAGTGGAGCTGCTGTCACCAGCCTTGCCCTTCCCGTCTGGGTGCCGAGGCGGGGGCTCTGCGCCCCCCAGGGCCTCTGCTGGCGCTGCCGGCTGGCTGACTTTGGTCAGCCAGTTGTCTAGCTGCCATTTGTTTGTTGTGGGAGGCTCGGGCTAAAAACAAGGAAAAAGAGAAAAGTGTTAACTGACCAAAATGATCAATTCTTCCCTGCATTACTCACTAATCCTATAGCCCTTCATCCCAAACCTAAGAATTCAGGTCCTTTTTATCCTCCTCTAATTACAGGTCAAATTCATATAACAATTGACTCTTTTTTTGTTTGTTTGTTTTGTTTTTGCTTTTTTTTTATCCTCACCCGAGGACATTTTTCCATTTTTTGTTCAGATAGAGCGGGAGGGAGAGAGAGGAAGAGAGAGAGAGAGAGAAACATCGATGTGAAGGGACACATGGAGTGGCTGCCACCCGCACGACCAACCAGGGCCGGGGACAAACTGCAACCGAGGTACATGCCCTTAGCGGGAACCGAACCCGGGTCTCTCTGGACCGCAGGCTGATGCTCCAACCGCTGAGCCAAACCAGCAGGGCTGACTCTTTTTTTTTAATCCTCACCTGAGGACATTTTCTGTTCAGAGAGAGTGGGAGTGAGAGAGAGGGAGAGTGAGAGAAACATCAATGTGAAAGGGACACATCAACTGGCTGCCACCCGCACAACCTAACTAAGGCTGGGGACAAACTGTAGGTGCCCTTAGTGGGAACCGAACCTGGGACTTTCTGGTCTGTGAGCCGACGCTATAACCGCTGAGCCAAATTGGCCATGGCAACAATTGACTCTTAAAACAATTTTCCTTTTTGGTGTTATAGGAATTTTGCTTTAGTAGATATTGACCATTAAATATGGACCAATGTAGACCATTGAAAACTGCTGAGAAATCTTTGGAACATATTTTGTTCTAATGGTAACTATGGTATTAATTTAAACAGAATTGACATATTTTTGGCTTGTATACTATTCCATCAGAAAATAATAGGGAATACATAGAATCCTTTTATGAAGGATTTTCAGAAAAAGGCTAATGAATAAAGTCTTGGTGATTATCTATGGGTTTCACTCTATCCTTTCCTTGACATACTTTTCAACTGAAAATTACTCTCTTCAAGACTAGCTATCCATTCTCTTATTTACTTAAAAACATTATAAACATTTATCTGGGAAAAGGTTTTCCATGTATCACAGATACACACTGATTTTTAAATTTTACACCATGATAAAAAGTCACGAGGCTGCTCTGGCCGGGGGATCGGGCGGCTGAGCATCTGCCTGTGCGTGGAACGCTCTCTGGCTCGATTCTCTGTCGGGGCACATGTCCAGGCTTTGGGTTCGATCCCTGGTCAGGGTTCGTGCAGGAGGCAACCAATTAATTTCTCAGTCTCTCTCTCTCTAATCAATACAATAAAACATTAAAAAAAATATAATCAAGTGAGGTCACATTAGATAAGCATCAGTCCCATTTGAATTCTTTAAAAACCAAGCATTAAGTCTCTTGTTACAGGCAATCTGAGCTGAAATAGCACCTATTTTTCTAAGACACAAAGGGAGGGTCCAAAGCACATAATTCAGAGCAATGAGATTACACTGATTATCTATGAACTGATTTGGCACATAAACAGAAGTCCCTGACATCTCCCATTATCTCATAAATCTCTGTTGCTAACTGATGGTAGATACATCCCACTCTCTCCAACTAAGTGAACTAGGTGTTAGATATTATTCACAGAACGGCAGAGACCTTTGCATCTCCAAGTTCCACTATTCTGTCTTCCATATGGTGATATACATTGAGATATTGATTTGAGCATTCCTATAGGTATATTACTGTGCCCATAAATAATGCTATATAAAAAATATTAATGTCTAACAAAGTGAGCAGTGATTACACTTTTTTAAAGTGCAAACACATGCCCAACCAGTGTGGTTCAGTGGATTGAGCATCATCCCACACACCGAGAGATTGCTGGTTTGCTTCCCAGTCAGGGCACATGCCCAGGTTGTGGGCTCAATTCCCAGTAGGGAGCATGCAGGAGGCAGTTGATTGATGTTTCTCTCTCTTCGATGTTTCTATCTCTCTCCCTTCATATCTAAAAAAAAATTTTTTTAATATTAAAAATAAATAAAATTCAAAGGTCAAACAAATATAGTATGAACAATTTAAAAAAAATTCTCAAGGGCAGCACTTCTCTTCATGCTACACATCTTTCATAAGATCCATCTGACAGGCGGTTTGTATGAATGACTAAATCATACACACTAGGCACCAGGAAGTTAACTAAAAGATATTCTACACAGGATTTAACTGATTTGATTACGGATCAGGAGATCAGCAGTAGGTGGACAGTATTTTACAGGGAAGATTGTTAACAATTTTCCCAGGTGAAATATCCCAAATAATTCAACTCTATAAAAACATGCACACTTAGTACATGGAAGATATGTGGATATAATGTAAAATCTTTTTGACCAGAAAAAGATTAGGTAATAAAATGATCAGGTAGTGTGATTAAAACAGAACAGAACTAAAAGGAACTTGAAAGAACTAGACAGAACCATGCTTTGGCAGAAAGATGGCTGCATGCCTGTTTTCTTTCCTACTTAGGATAACATACCTCCTTCACAGTTCCCTTTACCTACACCAACTCTAAACCCACGCTCACATTTGAGTTTTCACAGTAGGGAGGGAGGGAGGGAAGAAGGAAACTACTCTTATGTGCCAGGCATTTTGTCACATTTAATCTAAAACTGTATTCAATATTCTAACAAGACAGGATGATTGTTAAGAGTAGAGAAAAGATTAGCACACAATACCTACTTGTCAAAATTATTTCCCGCAGAAACTTGAGGGTATGGTAACACTAGTGGTTAACTGGGGACAAGGCATTCGTGACCTGCCAATCACATCAGGAACCAAACCCTTCAAACCCTTTCTTGGGAAAGGTATGGCTGTATCTCACCCAGGGCTATGTTCACAACTGTACTCCAGTCACTGACATGCTCTAGAGCAAAGTATTTATGCGGGAACCAAAAAAGAAAAGTCAATCCTGGTATAGCTATCATATGCCCTTTCTCTCCCCAAACAGGACAGTGTAAGATACATTTAGTAGTCCCTAAAGGAATGTCCTGGTTACAGAATAAAACACGTTTCTCCCACTGCAGTCCTGAGACGCCTGGCAGGGAGGTGTGTGGCCCAATTGCAGGGAAAAATGGAGCTAGTGCGCCCAGATAGAGGGGAAGGGTAGGGGCAATACTTTCTGTATACCTCCTCTAAAGATGTAAAATGGACAGAACTTCAAGGTCAGATGTTATTTGGCTACTGGGGTGGGGGAAATTTTTACATGAGGGATCAATTAAAAATAGATTTCAAGCCCTGGCTGGTTTTGCTCAGCGGTTAGAGCATCGGCCTGCGGTCCAGAGACCCAGGTTCGGTTCCCGCTAAGGGCACGTACCTTGGTTGCAGTTTGTCCCGGGCCCTGGTTGGTCGTGCGGGTGGCAGCCACTCGAAGTGTCCCTTTCACGTTGATGTTTCTTTCTTCTCTCTCTCTCTCTCTCTCTCTCTCTCTCTCTCTCTCTCTCCCCCCCCCTTCCCTCCCTCCCTCCCTATCCCTCCCACTCTATCTGAACAAAAAATGGAAAAATGTCCTCGGGTGAGGGAAAGAAAAAAAAAAGATTTTGAAACAAATTTTAAGAGTGTAAGTACTGGACAAGATCACTTTCATTTCTCCCTCTGCCATTCCTTATGCCCTGCCCCCAGCCTCCCTGGGCTGGAGTAACCCAAACATGGCACATTGGAAGTGAAAAAATATGATTTTCATTAAGCATTTTAATAAATGTTTGACCATATGTCCTTTTACCTCTTCTAATTTTTCAAATTGGCAAAAGTTAATATATTTTAGAATGAATTATAATTACAAATAAAAAGTTTTGATCTATGTACAATATATGCCTGCTTTTCTAATAAAATATCCTAGTTGTGAGGGAGTACCCAAAAATTACAAGAAAAAGCAAAGCGAAGAAGAAAGGGGAGAAGCAGCATGGCATAGCGGGGAAAAAAAGGCTTCAGAGTTAAAGGGCTATGGGTTTGAATCTTCAGTGCTACTTTCTTTATGGGTAAAAAGAAAACTACCAATTTTTCAGGATTGAGGGAGGGTTAAGAGCCTCACAGGCAATCAACTGAAGTAGTTAACTACCAAAGAAACGAATAATGAATAGATTGGGAAACTAAGCAGATCCCTGAACAACAGAGAACAATCATTTCCTGGCCCTGGACTTGACTTTAAAGAGTAAAAGGTCAGGGTGTCCCATACATTTTGAAAAGCTGAGGTTTATATTTTGATTCCTACTGTAAAAAGTAAACACTGAAATCTTCTTTTCCCATGTTCATCACCAGCTCATGTGGCAGGAATATAGCAGGTTCAGATTCTTGTAGGATTATTAAACTAGTTCATCAAATAAATTTAAAATGGAACCATAGAAAGCAAAATTTTCAGCATTAAAAATAGAATTTAAAAAAGGGACAGAAGCCCGACCGGTGTGGCTCAGTGGCTGAGCATTGACCCATGCACCAAGAGGTCGCTGGTTCGATTCCTGGTCGAGGCACATGCCCAGTTGTGGGCCTGATCCCCAGTGGGGGGCATGCAGGTGGCGGCCAATCGATGTTCTCTTTCATCGATGTTTCTATCTCTCTCTCCCTCTCTTCCTCTCTCTAACTAAAATCAATAAAGAAAAAATATTTTTTTAAAAATAAAAAAGAAACAGAAAGTAATAACTAATAACTATAGCCTGTTAATGTATGGAATTCAACTAATACAGGAGTTTCACAATAATGCAAGTATTTATTTTAAAAGGAAAGAAAAGTAGTCAAATACCTTGGGGAAAATTAAAGGTTTAAAATCTAGGCAAAGACAAAATATTGCTAGGGAAGTTGTCCTCCATATGTATCATACAAACTGTACCAAGTCTGGATTTGCACAGCAACACAAAAGCACAAATATGAACTTATTTAGTAAGGTGATTTAAAAAAATAAATTAGGCTTTTTGTCTGATCCGTCATCTGCAGTTGCTCCCTAAGATATAGATTTTTGTGAAAACCCTTATGGGGAAGACCATCTCTCTTGAGGCTGAAACCTCGGATACAATAGAAAACAGAAAGGCCAAAATACAGGATAAGGAAGGAATTACTCCTGGTCTTTGCTGGCAAGCAACTGGATGATGGACATATTTTGTCTGACTGCAACACTCAAAACGAATCCAATCTTCGTCTTGTGTCGCAACTTCGTAGTGGTGCTAAGAAAAGGAAGAAGTCTTATACTACCCCCAAGAAGAATAAGTAAGAGAGACAACAGTGATGCGGCTGCCCTGAAATACTACTAAGTGGACGAGATGGCAGAATCAGTCGTCTCGTCGGGAGTGCCTTTCAGATGAACGTGTGCTGGAGTTTTTACGGCCAGACACTTGGACAGACATTGTGGCAAATGCTGTCTGACTTACTGCTTCAGCAAACCAGAAGACAAGTAATTGTATATGGGTTAATAAGACATGAACTAACATTTAAATAAACAAAAATTTAAAAACTCAAGTAGGATGGGAACATTTTTTATTTAAAAGTCTCTACCTCTATTTCAGTAACCTCTTGAGCAACAAGACATAATTGTTTCATTAAATCAAATACCAAATTAATCTTTAAAATTTCAAGTATTCCGTCAAATATGTGCCATTTCCACTTTATTTGAATTGAATTTCTTTATTTGAATTTTGTTCTTTCTATCAGTAAGGTAACAAACGAGCACGCAGATTTTTCTTATTGAACAAGGTGAGACACAAAGCAGAGATCGTATAAACATTAACAGTGAACAATCACATAATTTGTCTGTAGAGCATATTCAATATCTTTTTCCCTGGGGCACAGAAAAATTATCTCAACAGCAATTAGTGTCATGAAAGGAAACAAAGAACCCCCTAGAAACACAGAGAGTATTTTCTAAAATCTGAAAGGCACTCCAAGTGCAATTAATGCTGACCTATGTTTATTTACTCCAAAAAATATTTACTGAGCACTTACTCTGTGCCAGACATAAATTTGCATCTAACAAAAAATGACACAGTTACTTTCATAGCCTCCCTTGCCCTCAGACATGGCTCTTAAATCTCACTACGTGATCTCCAGATGGATGGAGTTAGTGCTCAGTGGAACTAACTGCCTTGCTTTCTAAACAGCAGAGACACATACTAGGAACTTGAGCACTTTCTTAATCAAAAAGTCTCATTTCCCGAATTCCCATCTTAAATATGCAGAATAATCTTCTCTATACAAGCTGGTCTATTCACCAAAAACGCCCCCCCCCTTTTCACTAAGTACCCTTCTGCAGCATACGTTGCACACTGGTACTCCAAGTTATGAGGGTGTTTGGCAACCTTATTGTTATTAAATTTCTTGTGCTCGACAATCCAGTAAGTAACATAAATCTCTAGCTAAATGTAGTGTTTGAGATTTTCAATCTCATCTGTTTATCTTTACAATATTTCCCAAGGGCGGTGACAGGCAAACACAATTATCCCTGTTTTACATGGGGCAGAGGGCGCAGAAACGCAGCCCTGGCAAAATCACTTCGCCATCCATTTAATGCATGGCTTTCAGTGATTCAAAAATAGAACCTCTGATGACTTATTTCTAGTTCACGTTCCTGCCCTTTGCTAAATCAGGCTATCTCCTTTTGATTCCCTTAATTTATGCATTCCTGAAATTTCAAAATGAATTCTCATTAATTTTAAAACAGCAGCCTACTGCCCTGGCTGATGTGGCTCAGTGATTAGAGTGTCAGCCTCGCACCGAAGGGTCGCAGGTTCTATTCCCGGTCAAGGGCACATACCTGAGTTGCAGGTTCGATCCCTGGCCTCGATCAGGGTATGTGGAGGAGGCAGCCAACTGATGTGTGTCTCTCTCGCATCAACGTTTCTCCCCCCCACCACCACACTCTCTCTTAAAAAAATAAATAAATAAATGGAAAACATATCCAGTGAAGATTAACAACAACAACAACAACAGACAAAACACCAGACTACTAAAAATGAGTTTTCTTTTTCAAGAGAGGGGACAAGAAAATGGCCTACATTCTTAACGAGCTGCTCTTCAAAACACACTAGCAACAACAGAGAAGAACCCACTGTTTCCAACAGGAGAGAAGACTTCTCTCCCAAACCTCCAGGGCCAGGTGTTGGTAAGAGACAACGTAGGAGTAGGAAAGCATTGCTGCAGAGGACAGAACCACTCAGGCCCACGGTCTGGCCCGCAGCGGACTCTAGCCCCAGAATGCTGCCGTCGGAGACGGTCTCCTGGAGGGGACACGGTACCTCAGGAGCCGGCGTTTCCTGGGGCTCGTTCTCTTCGCTGTCACTCGAGCTGCTCTCGCTCTCCGAGTCGGAGGAGCTGTCTGAGTCACTGGTGCTCTCTGACTCCGCACCATTGGAATGTGCTGAGGCCACTGCTTCTGGGAGCGACTGCGGAGCGCTGCAAAGCAACCCAAAGAGATCGGCTGAAGACACCACACAAGGTGGACTTCCCCTTCTTCACACATTTCCTGCTTTGCTCATTATTCTGTCACTCAAAACAAAGGGTCTCAATATTACCTAACACTGGCACATTATATGATCACCCAGTTGAAAGAAAGCCCTACAATAGCTCAAAAATCAGAAAAAAAATCCCACCTTAAAATAGCTCACCAGATAACTATGTAAAAGAGAAGCCTGTGAAATTTTGCTCCTGAAAACATTTCAAAAAATAATAACTTAGATGCTGGGTACTTTATATCAGGCGTTAGTGATCAAGGGCCTGGGCTGGCTGGCTATTTTTCTAAATAAAGTTTTATTGGAACACATCCACACCCATTATTTTATGTATTATCTATGTATGTCTGCTTTGATACTGTAAAAACAGCCGACTAGCTTCAACACAGACTGCATGGCCCACAAAGCCTAAAACATTTACTTTCTGATCCTTTAAGTTTGCTGACCCCCACTATATATAACCCAAACAAGTTCATTTATGAAAGAATAGCCAATACATTAAAATCCCCCCTCTGCAGTCTATATGAGAACTAACTGTATGGTAAGTCAAAAACTACTGAGTAGAAATGGAGTTCTTTTGGAAAGTGACTTCAAAAGCAAGCCAGTCACTCTTGTGGGCAGAATTATAAAATAGGTCATTGTTTACAAGTGGCTTAGGATGATCCCCAAATATCAGCTGAAATAGAGATTAACTACTGCAAGTTAGGACAGTAACTCTAGGTCAGAGAGAAAACACTGCTGGACATAAACAGAATTTCAAAACACATCTTAAAACCTTGTCTTCAGTGCCATCAGCCAAAGCAATAAATCAATACCTATACTCTTAAAAGCCTTCAAATCTACTTAAAATTAAATTATTACGCTATAAATAATAAATTTACTAAAATTATATTAGAACAAATAGAATTAAAAAAAATAATAAATAAAACCACTCTTGGAGATCATTTTAAAGCAAACTATACTGTGATATAATTTCTTCAGGTAAAATGGTGTCAAGTTTGTGATAATTTTCACACTAGTAGCTAATGAGCTTAAACCAGAGATCAGTGTTATTTCTGCCTCTAATTTATTCCCATTTTGCTTTTTCTATTTTCTTTTCCTCCACTTTTAAGTTAGGCTAATTTGTCATATTTTATGAGTCACTGTAAGTCACTAGAAGTTACTGACACAAAATGTGATATAAATAAATAAGCTGAGCTTATGAATCTATAAGACCTGGCATAACCACATGAGCTTCCTCCACAGTAGCTATAGCACCGCATGTCTGTGAGGAAGGTGTCCTGGAACCAGGGACTGACACAGCTACAGTGCAATCTAACTCTTCGCTGTCCGTGGAGGTCAGGTATTGGCATATGAAATCATTAAATTCAGTACCAGAGAGAGTTTAGATAGTTCTCGTTTCCAAAAATTAAAGTATATGTTTTCTAAAACATGGCTACGCTGTTTACAAAATGAAAACAGTGTCATTTTCCACCACACTAAAAGGTACTGCAGGCCTTTTTAAAAAGCAATTAGAACATTCATATGACTAAGAAAACAGGCATTATGGAAAATTCAGCTTTATAATTTTTGAAAATACAACAAATCTGTCACTTTCATAGAAACACTGGGCTCTTCAGCATAACTTTTCAAATATTAGTTACGTAATACTGATGAAAGAGATTCAGGTTTATCTTAAACTCTAGAAAACTCTAATCACCCAAACTCATGGTTTTGGTGGGTGCAGGAGCACTTTCTCCTGATGGAGTTAATAACCTCTCTAAGGCTGACTGAAGTTTCCAAACCATTAAACATGTCTTTTCTTTTAACTGTGACCCTCCATCTCCTTCCCCATGAAGAAGTTGTGAAGGTACTAAATCAGGCTGTATTTTTCCCATTTGGCAGAAAAATGCAAACGTTTTGTACAGATGGGAGAAACCCGCACACGGTACCTTGGCGGTGCAGTTGTGGAAGGAGGCTTCTCTGGGGTCTAGGCATTCACAATAAGGGGAAGAAGGACGAGGAAAAGAACAAAAAACAGGTTAGGATAAGCAGTTCAGAAACGTTAGACAGATTTAAAAGGATCCCTGGTGTTAGGAGATGCACAAAACTTACTTGCTCGCTCTCACTGTCCTCACTGTCACTGAGCTGAAGGTCATCTTCAAGCATGCTGGAGGAGGCGGGAAAGCAGACATTGCAGAATTTACAATACTTTCTAATAGCTTCTTTTAACATATAAATAGAAAATATGCTGAATGATTATAAAAGGGATGGGATAGGTATGGGTTTTATTTATTCATCCAATGCTTTATTTCCTGGAAATATAAGTTTTACAATAACACAAAAACTAGTTCAGTCTAAATTTCTTTCTCAAAACTGAATCTTCCACATGTCTGAGTATTTAAGGCAGACTACCATGAGACCGGGATTTGGTGCTAGCCCCAAGACTAAAGTTCCAGGTGCACATGGTAGGTACATAGGTAGGTTAGGTGGGTAGGAAAAATAGAAGGAAGGAAAGAAGGATGGAAGGAACGGAAGAGGAGGAAGGGAGGGGAAAGACACAATACACTCAAATTATTTCCGTCTATATTCTCTAACAACTAGAATAAATGATTAACCATTAAATGAGTTAACAGATGAATGAATATTTACATAATGCTTAAAACAGTGCCAGCCACTTAGAAAATGCTATATATGAAGCCCTGGTTGGATAGCGCAATTGGTTGGAGTGTCATCCTATGCACCAAAACGTGGTGAATTCAATTCCCTATCAGAGCACATACCCAGGTTGTGGGTTTGATCCCCGGTTGGGGTGCATACAGGAGGCATCTGGTCGATGTGATGTTTCTCTCTCACATTGATGTCTCTATCTCTTATCTATCCCTCTTCCTCTCTCTAAAATCAATTTAAAAAAAACTACTTAAAAAAAGTGCTACATATGAATTAAATAAATACATAGTAAGATGTATGAAGCTATTCAGGCAGTGTCACCGAGTGCACTTATCCTACATTTTTGTTCTAAGGACATTATTAATACTGAATTTTATTTTTCATGCACACAAAAATATCTTCTTTCATTTGCTTGAACACTGACCAATGGAAAGAGTAGTAGTAGAAATAATATCGCTGTCTAGAAAATGTTTAACCTTACAGCTATCATCCTATGAAAATAAAAACTCAGTTCACTTCCTCAGAGTTAATACTCATCTCTAGGCAGTGTGGTTTATGATGAACCTAAATATTAAAAGTGAACATTTTCCAATCAATACATGTATTCAAATTTTAGCCCCTTTCTTATCTCTTCCCCTTTCCTTTAAAAAAATTTTTTTTCTTTATTGATTAGAGAGAGACAAAGGGGGGGAGGGGAACATCGATGAAATAGAACATTGATTGGCCCCCTCCTGCGTGCCACACTCTGGGGATCAGGCCCACAACCTGGGCATGTGCCCTGATCGGGAATCAAACTGGTGACCTCCTGGTGCATGGGGTTGATGCTCAACCACTGAGCTACATCAACCAGGCTCTCTTCCCCTTTCCTTTACCTTCTTCCATGGAGATGCCCAAATATCAAAGAAATGAAATCAGTAAATGCTCCCTCCACACTCTCAAATTCATGTAGATGACTATTTGAGAAAATGTTATAAGTGAAAGGGAAAAAAAACAAGTCTGTTTGAGTATTACTGATGCTCCAAAAAGCAAATTATATTAGCAGTTGCAATCCTTTAGTATTTCTAAAAATAACCTCACCAACAATTTTTATTGCAAACCCACTACCTGCCACTGAAGTAAGCAGGCATCATTATTTTGGGAAACCTTGGTAAAATCACTGTATTTTCTAATGAAAACAAATGCTAAAACTTGGCTCTTTCATAATGACCGCCTACATGCAACACTGTAATTCTGCCAAGGAAGTATTTCACCAACAAATGTACTAAAAACATCTTGTGATAAGTTTCTTAAAAACATGAAAACTGTTACCTTGTAAATATAGATCTCACTCAATATTTATCTAATGAAAGCTAAGCTCCTATTTTAGCAAGGCTAGAAAACACACCCTTCAGAGGTAGGACTTGGAAGTAGCAATCATAATGGCATAAGAAAAAGTCGCTCAACAGGTTTATTGCCGAATGATGGTTTGGCTGGGGTATACAAAAGCAAAAGATAAAAGATATATCTTTGGAATAAATGTAAGGGAAAAAAATCTGACAAAGTGTATTTAATACTAACCAACAACAACAAAACCATGGTAAATGAACCTCTTTGTTTCTTAGTCATTGGGTTTGTTTTGTATGAAACTGATTTGCCTTAATTTCCTGAAACGTCAATGACCATGGACTCCAGCCATGCTTCCTGTTGTAAGCAGAGATACAGACCCTGGCAGTTGTTTGCCCAGCTACTGAATGCCCAGCTTCCATGAATATATTCTCCTAACGTCAAGTGTATGTTCTGGCTGTTAGCTCCGCTTGCCGTGGAGGAATGAAAGGGACCGTAAACAATGCTGCCCCAGATTCGGAGCCTCCCTCTTCAGAGGGTTAGCCTGCAGGCATGAAACTAGTTCAGGACCTGAGAGTGGAGGGACAGTGACCATCCCCAAAGAAACACTCCAAAAAGAAATGACAAACCAATAAACAAGGTCAAACAAAAGCTATCAATTACGTGGGATGTACTAGGGATTTATACATGGCAATTCATTTAATCAAAATTCATGGGTATAATTTATCTGACATGAGAATCAGCATACACAGTGTACTGTCAGTGTCTGCCAACTCAGCCAACAGTAACCAGAGAACCTTCCAGAAACCACAGTTTATATCACCAGAGACGGGTAGCTTAACATTAAGAAGCATACTCTCAGTGGGGGGAAAGAAAAATATTTTCTAAAGTCTTTTTTTTTATAAGAAACATGCATTGCGTCTCTAGTAAGAAAAAAAGCTATCTGAAAACCATAACTAAGTTTTGCTATTATAGAAAATTAATCACAAATGCCACTGTTATTAAAAAAAATATCTATATAGTTAATGGAAATGTAACCCGATGACAGGTAAAGGTTTCATTTTTAGAGATAAGAAAAATTTTTTAAAGAAATCAGCTGCTAAAATCCCTACCTGTCCCACAAACAATATAGCTGAGGTCGAGAACATTAGTACACCGTACCACACTATACTTCACACATTATATATGACAGAACCGGTCACCGAATGTGAAGAATGACAAAATTAATTGTAGCACATCTGGCTGAGCACCTTTACACTCACTGAAAGAGAATAAAATCTCTCAGACCCAGTCCCATGCCTACCAGTAAAATCTGGGTCAAGAGAACATACGGCCCATGGGACATACTCAATTGTAAGGTTTTCTGGGGCAGGATCAAGTCATTTGTACCTTTATAACTTCTATATCAAGAACTTGGCAGGTACCCTAAAAAGGTGGCTGCATGAATAGCACCCCTTCTGAATAAGCAACAGTAGCACAGAGCTGCACCCATTCTGTGATTAGGACCCTCAGGCACTCTTACTCACAACCCTGTGGCTGGCTCTGATCACACCCGCACAGTCCCAGGACGAGGAAACAACTGCCACCTAACTTGCCCAGGATCGTGAAGCTGGTCCGTGCTGGAGCGGGAGGCAAAAGCCATTCCATTGATCTGATCCCCTTGCCCTGGCCCATGTAGGACCCAATGGCTAGAAACCCTAATGCAATGAAATCTAAGTTCTAGTACCTACAGAGAGAAGACTTTGATTTAAAACAAAATAACTATCAAGAAAAAGACAAAGGATTTTCCTCCCTGGCTGCTTAAAGATCAACCTCCACCGCGACCGACACAGTAACTATCTGACCAGGAAGTTCATGATTGGTAGACTACTTCAGTGAAAACAAATGGTCATCAATGTCCTTCACCCTGGGAAGCCAGCAACACCCAAGACAGAAATCCTGGAAAAACTAGCCAAAATGTGTAAGACCACAGCAGATGCCATCGTTGTGTTTGGATTCAGAACCTGTTTTGATTGCAGTGAGATAACTAGCTTTGGCACAATTTATGATTCCTTGGATTGCCTGGAGTGGGGCATGTCCGCCCCCCCCCCCCGAAATCCGTACCAGATAACCTCACCAAATATAACAGGCTAACTTTTAAGTTGATAATTTTGTATGGCCCACAAACTATGTTATAAATATCCAAATGGCCGTTTGCAGAAAAAAGGTTCTTCACCCCTGGGTTAGGCAAAGAAAAATGAACCCAAACATAGACTTGCAAGACATGGGCTGCATGAGACCTCAGAAAAACAGCAAAGGGAACACAAGAACAGAATGAAGACTCGGGGCACTGCAGAGGCCAATGCTGGTGCTGCAAACAATGAGCTGGATACTGGACAGCAGAAGGAGCAAAGATTCTCCAGTGACTTTTTTGTTTGTTTGTTTGTTTTTTGTTCAGATAGAGTGGGAGGGAGAGAGAGAAACATCAACATGAAAGGGACACATCGAGTGGTTGCCACTCGCATGACCCAACCAGGCTGAGGACAAACCGCAACCAAGGTACAGGCCCCCGGCAGGAACCAAACCCGGGTCTCTCTGGACCACAGGCCAACGCTCTAACCGCTGAGCCAAACTGGCCAGGGCTCCATTGACTTTATCTGTGGGGATTGTGAAGATGTTTCATGAGAGGATTAATAAATTAAGAACTTTTATGAAAAAAGAAAAAGGACAAATAAAAACTATTCTGTTGGAATAAAATTAATGTACTATCTTTCCTTTATGAAACTCAATAAACTTTAAACCTTATAAAATTTTTAAACTGGTCAAATAACTAATTTCACCTTCACACTCCAAGACAAAGCTGTTATTTCGGAGCACATGGCACCATACAGCCTACCTTGGCACTGTTCAAAAGAGGCCAAGTGCTCGGTAACGCACCTCTTTGAACTACCATGTAGGTTTAACCACATTTTATACGACTGGTTAGGTAAACTTTTTACTTAGAGGTTACAAACAATCCTCAAACCCCTTTGCACAAATGCACTCCTCTGGCAGCTGTTCTGCAAAGCTTCGAGAGCCAAGTGCAGGTCCCAGCAGGCATGCTTCAGTGACTCAGAGTCCAATTGTTACTGTGTGGAGACACACAAGACAAGCCTTTATTCCCTTTCCATTCCTAAGAACTGAGCTTGCCAAAGATTT